AATTAGCATGTGAGTGACCGAAGGGATGATGGGATGCTGTCGTTCAATGGTTCTTAAAATCTCCAGACCCAGGGCTCCCTCATTACAGGGGGTGCTTTATAATTCATTTTTCAACGTCCTGAAATGAAACCATGCACATATAACCTGCCTACACATATAATTATAAAAGGAATAGTACAATAAATACCATTGCTGTGGTAAAAGGAGAAATAAAGGGATACTAAATGATAATAATGTAATATGCACTTCTAATATGTAAGGCACATTGGAAGACTTGGCGAAGTAGCAGAGTCCATGTATACAGAGTCCTGCTGAATGGTGCCTGCATGTGTAGACTGTGGGCGTAAGATTAGCAAATCAAGTGTGGTGACTTTCAGAATGGTAAACAATCCTTGTTCAAGTTTTGCATGCAGCCAAATAGTCTTCTTTCAATTTACACAGTGGTTGCATTCCTAGAATATTCAATGTATATTAAAACCCTACAAGATATACTTTATGTTTATATAGGAATTAATTTACCAGATAATTTTTTCCCAAAGTAATTGTCTAGTAGGATTCTTAACATCTGTATAGAAATTCAAGAGAGTTCTTTGTTACAGTGACAACAGACACACCCACATGTTTCTAAAGATGGGAGTGGGGTACTGTCCCTAGGGGAAGTCCAGAACAAGTCCCAGCAAAAAGAAGCAACTGTCTCAGATGTGTTAAAGGGAAAGTCCAGAGCCTGAGCCAATGGGGCACTAGGAGACCACTGGTGACTGAAAATATCTTCCTAGCTTTCTGTTAAATCTTAATGCGAATGGCCTGGACATGGTGCTATACCTGTGGCATCCTGTCACCAAGTTGCTTCTTTTTTGAAATGGATCCTCCAAGGTTAAAAAAAAAAAAGGACAATTCAATCCAACAAAAGCAGGCTTTACTCAGTAGAGGTTCACCCAGTGCTTGAGTGACCGAAGGTTCATAGACATTAGAAACAGAATCTGTAACTTGGCTGAATGTATTGAAAAGCTAGACTCAAAGTCTGAAAGATGAGAGTAACTAAAATTGGATGGATTACACATACTCTTACCTCAAGTTTTCTAAGCTGCATCCTTGTGTTGGCTTGAAAACTAGAGAGCTGCACCGTGTCTTGGTCTATGTTTGAAATACTTTCAGTGAATTACAGTTTAGGGCTCAGTCCTTGGCTTTAATCTAAAATAACTATAATAAAGATACACGAAGCACAATTTTACATCTTCTGCCAAACAGCTATTGAAGTGATTGACTCTTAGATCTTTATACCTCAGGGATGTTCCTCTGTATCTCTTTCACTTTATCAGATCTTTATATACCATCCTGATTTTTCTCTTTATATTCTGTTTTGCTTTTGTTTTCCGTTGGCTACCAGGAAGGTCAGAGATTTATTTAATACCTGTGCACAGTGATATTTTTACTCCAGCTTCCCGGAAGAACTCTGTCCTTTTTCCTTCTTCTGATGTCTCTGACTTTACTTTGATTGTCCTCCATGTGCTTTTATTGTATGCAACATCATATTTTTTTGAGAAATAAGATAGGGTACAAATGACTGGTCCACCAAACCATGTATTTTAAGCACTTGGAACAGCTTAGCTCTTGGAAGGCGCTCAGTAGATATTTACCAAATGACTGAATGGATGGGAATGGGAAACAAATCTCACTTTTGTGTAACTAGGAGTGAATGGCCACGAGGGGGCGCTGAGCTCCCACTTCTCTTTGTAAAAGGGCCCTTCCCATCGCTGGACCCTGCTTGGGGGTGATGCGGTATAGAGTGCTGTTTTGTGGTGATTGGATTCTGTATTTCTGAGATGTGTGTGACCGAGACACCTGAGGAGTGTGCATTTGAAGATTACCAGGTTGTTCCTGTGGAGACGCCGGCTCTGTCATTACCAGCGAATGACTGTGCTGAATGTGGTCTTGCTTTCCTGAAAAGCTGGAGGCCAGAGCCAGACAGAAGCACCAACAACCTCACAGAAAGAAAGCAGCGCTCATATCTGGTGTTCTGAGCCAGCCGCAAAACTCTTTATTAAAATTCTTAAGATTCAGACAGAGCAAATATGCTCAGTACAGTAGAAGTAAGAAGACAGCAAGGAGAGCCAGGCAGGGTGGTGCATGTTCGTAATCCCAGTATTCTGAGGGACTGAGGCAGGAAGATCACAAATTTGAGCTCAATCTGGGCAGCTGTGTGTGACTTGGTGAAACCCTGTCCCAAAATTAAAAAAAAAAATTTTAAAAAGGAGCTGGAGATGCAGCTCAGTGTGAAGGCCCTGGGTTCAATCTCGACACAAAACAAAACAAGACAGAAAGAAAAGGAAAGCACCAATGGGCAAGTTCCAAAGACTGCTGGGGAAGTTGGAGAAGGATGTAACTTGTTCCTTATTCTTGGCACTTGGGCATGTGCTCTTTTCTACTGCTTTCCCCTTTCCCAGAGATTCAGAGCCTCCAGGAACTAGGATTCTTCTGGCACTTCCTGTTTATTTGGAATCTGGATCCAAGGAGGCACAGGGCTTTGTCTCTGCTGACACAGAGAGGTGCCAGTCTCTGAACAAAGCCCAGAGTCCTCGTTGCTTTGTAGTTTCCCACCATCTGGATAGGAAACCTTTGGCGAGTCAGCCCTTGAGGATACTGGAGACTGGAGCCCAAGTGGGCCCTTCTCAAAGGCTGGGTTTGTCTTCTTATGCAACTTCTGGGATTGGGGTGAGTGATATATTTTAACTTTATTTTACAATAAAGAAACTGACAGACATGACTCCCTGAAGCTGGTAGCCATCAGCCCATGGCTCAGGATTTGGATGGAGGCAAATTACACCTTCATTTTTATTCATCTTTAACTAGAATTTAGCCATTTCCTTAAATTATGAATATAAGAAACACACCATGGTAGACTCAGTAGAACCTGTAATTTGGTCCCCAATAGAAATCATAGATATTTTCATACCATATTCTATGTTATAGATACAGTATCTTAAAATACTTCTACACCCATCACCACTTAGAAATTATGGCTGTCAGATATTAGATCACTATCTGATCTTACTATTTCATGCATGAACAAACATATAGTATTATTACTATGTTACAAAAATAAATATATCAGTATAATCAGTTTCCTTTGTAACCCAACATATGTAATTTTTTGCACTTAAAAACACATAGGCTTCATCGGAATGTCAAAGATTAAGAAAAAAGATTAACTTTGCTTGAAGAGAATACTTTTCAGCTCTATTAATCTCTCATTCTTGGATTTACTGTGGCTCATGCTGTAATATGGACCATGTTGAAGCCCAGCAAAGGAGTTTAGCTTCTAGAACATAGGAAGGACCTCTTATCACCATGGCGTTTGCATAGGTTTGCTATCAGAAATGGTGTTATAGAAGGGATATTCATTTGATTGTCCACATTCTTTTGGTAAAAGGATGTGTGCAGAAGCTTTCAGCTTGTACAAACAGAAACAAGGTCTGATGTTTAAGGAAGCATTTGAAAGCTATTAAAAACCATGAAGACTTGGTAGATTGAAGTTCTGATACCACTTTATACTTTCCAAATTGATTACAGTCTTTTTGTGTGTAGTACTGGGGATTGAACCCAGGGTCCTCACACTGAGCTGTATCCCCAGCACATACACATCCTTTTTAAAATTTTGAGCTAGGTCTCACTAAGGTAGCCCAGGCTGGGCTTGAACTTCTGATTTTCCTACCTCACTCTCCCAGAGTGCTGGGATTACAGGTATGTGCCTAATTTGATTTATTTTCTGTTTTTTCAGTTTGACATTATTTGTAAAAATATAGCTAACAATTCAGAGCATCACTTCTCTAATGCATTTTCAATTAGAATGATGTACAGTCAGTCATGTCCACGTAATGATGTGTCAGTCAAAGATACGCTGTATACAGCACAATGATCTCGTAGGATTATAATGACTGAAAAATTCCTAGCACATCACTTTTGTGTTTGTGGTTATGCTAGTGTAAACACTCCTTTCAAAGAAAAGTATCAGAGAAAAATGTAGCATATACAAATATGTATAGTTCATAATAAACAACTGGTGTATGCACTTACTATATTACACTTTTAATCATTATTTTATAGTGTTTTGCTTATTTTAGAAAAGCTTAATACAAAGTTTGTCGTTACTCTAGCGGCAACCTCATCCATATCTTTTTTCAGTGTGTGTGTGCGTGTTCTCACATTGAACCCAGGACCTTCTCACTGAACTACACACCCAGCCCTTTTTTATTTTTATTTATTTATTTATTTATTTTTGATACTGGGGATTGAACTTGGGACCTTACACCTGTGAGGCAGGTAGTGGAACCATGGAGCTAAATCCCCAGCCCCTGTTTTTATTTTTTAAGACAGGTCTTACTAAGTTGCCCAGCATGGGCCTGAACTTGTGATCTTCCTGCCTCAGTGTCCCAGAGTACTATATCTTTTGATCATACCATCTTCTCTTGTGGTTGGTTGGATCTCATGTTGTGGTGTTCATCATGGCCCTTGGAGGAGCAGGCTGACACACACACACACACACACACACACACACACACACACACACACACACACACACACACACACACACACACACACACACAAACATTGTCTAGGTTTGTGGCACTGAGGTTTGTGTCATTGGGTTGGTGAACTCTGTGTTTGCACACTGGTGAAGTCAGCTAACGATACTTTTCTCCAAACTACCCAACACTAAGCGGAACACAATTGTTCATTAAACATAGACCTTCGTACTCTGACCAACTGAAGATACGGAATTCACAGTAGGAAAATCTAAGTGTGGAACTTCTGAATATAATAAGCCTTATTTAACTAAATTTAAAATCTTACATTGTCACGGCAGCAGGAAATGCAGCTTTGTCGATGTAGAAACTTTTCTCTTTTTCTGAAGTAACACTGCAGAGATACTCAAGCCAGGAAAAATGACACTGTGTTGTTTTTTTTTTTTTTTTTTTTTTTTTTTTTTGTCTTTTTTGTAGGTACTGAACCAACTGACCTTTTAATTGTCATTTCTGCTGGCCTAGAAACACTTTACAGGAAGATTAGCTTCTATAAGTCATTTGTCTCCTTTTTACTGCTATTTGTAAACTTTCTCAGGTTGGGGATTGTTCTGCTTTGGAGAAATTATCTGGTTTGAGCCATGCATAATTTATGACAATCTCTGGCAAAACCTCAGAAAAAAGATATGCTCTTGTCTTGGGCGGATGTCAGAGGCTGTGGCAGAGCCCAGTGAAAACACTCTTTGGGAGCCAGTGCTCCAACAGTGGGACAGCCTCTGGGTACTGTCTTCTCTGAGGACTATGACACAGATAGAGAAGAAAAAAGAGCCCCAAGCGGAGCACAGGCGACAGTGAAATCAGAGAGGGGCTCTTTCAAGAACACTGAGTTGCAGCTGGACTCTGCTGCTCGCTTGCTGGCTGGACGGTGAAAGTCTTCCAACTGGGGTCCAAGAAAAGGGATAGGACATGGCCTACGAAGTGCATCTGGATTCCCTCAAGGAGTCAGAGCAGGAGATCATCCTCCAGGTCCTCTACCGAGACCGGGCTGTGCGAAGCATAGAGGAGGAAAGGATACGGTAAGCCGCCCTCCTGATGGGTGCAGGGCGCTGTGGACTCTGGGTTCCCGCAGCTGGCCCAGAGCCTTGGCTAAGTGGTGCTTGCTTGTTGCTTGTCACTCACAGCTGGGCTTCTGACTGAGGCGGCTCTGGGGTAGGCTTGTGAGTGGAGATGGCTTTGCTATCGACCTGAGCCTGGAAGGCAGTGAGCAAAAGGGGAGGCTGCCCTTACTGCTCCTTTCAGATGGTGCCTTTTGTAACGCTTGCTGCCATCTGCTCTTTCACTTGCCTTCTTTATGGAAATAATTCAAACAACACTTGCAGGCTTCTGGTTCCTCCCCCAGGCAGGGAAAGACCTTGGGTTAGGAGTTTTCCTACATTGCTCTTGGTGCCACCTAAAGACACAAAGAAAGCAGCTTAGAATCAGCAGATCGGATGGAATACATTGCTGCCTTTTTGCTTTGCTCGCTTTTGCTTCCCTGTTGGCTTTGAGGAAAAAGGGAGCTCAAAGCTCAAACCTGCTTAGCCTGTTCCCTGACTACTTTGTCAATAGTGAGTTTCTTCCTGTGCGTCTCTGAGTTGGACAAGCTGGGTGACAGGAATTAACCCTGAAGGCTGGTAGCAGAGCTGTCCATTGTTAGTCATCAAGATCCATCTTTACATCTACTGGTGCTTATTGCTTATTTATTTATGTTTACAGAGGACATAAATAAATGGGCTGGGGTGTAGCTCAGTGGTAAGTAAAGTGTGTGCTTAGCATGTGCAAGGCCCTCGGTTCATTCCCCAGCACCAAAAGAAAAAAAAAGGGAAATGGAATTTGTAGTTTGGTTTGCTTTCTAATGGCAGAACTTTTGCAGAGGCTGCCAAGAAAAATACACAATCTAAAACTTTGTACAAACCGGGTGGAGTGGTTCGTACCTGTAATCCCAGCACTTGGGAAGCTGAGGCAGGAGGATTGCCATAAGTTCAAGGCCAACCTGTCTCAATAAATAAATAAATAAATAAACAAACAAATAAATAAATAAATAAAACTTTCTACAACCAAGTGCTTGAGGACCAAGGGAAATTTTCTGGTTGACTGGAAGGTACAATACCCTTTCCATCCTATGTTATTTCAGAGCTCTGAAAGTACCAGTAAATTTTCTGCCACTAGAAACTATAACACATTGGCAAAAATGCAATTTTCTTTGAAGATTCAAGGTCTTTCAGTGATTTGAAGCCATCATTTTGGATATTATTAACATAATGTGGATACTAGAGTAAGGGAGGTTTGTTTCAAAAGGTCCTGTTTCTAGGGAAAATACTGAAAGTTGAATTTTAAACTACTGTTCTGATAATAATCTTTTTCCTTGTGATGGGCTTATCTCTTCCAAAAATAGGTAATGGAGACATTGCACTTAAGAGTGCTGTGGTTACTGACATCTTTAGGGTCCAGTACAGTGTTCGGTTGCACTACAGCCACTGTCTAGCCCAGAGGAATTAGGGGCTAAAAGGCCACTGGCCACCCATTAAAAGAAGAAAAAGTAGCAAAAGCAAAACATCAGTTAAATAATTTTATTGGGTTACATCACAATAGCAGGACATGTGCTATACTGTGTGTTTATAGATCTTCCCATGCCTTGCCTATTAAAAAAGATGTATTTTATTGTGTGTGTTGAGGGGTACTGGCCATTGAACCCAGGGCTTTACACTGAGCTGCATCCCCAAGTCCTTTGCTATTATTTATTTTTTTCTAATTTTTGAGACAAGTTCTCCCTAAATTGACCAGGCAGGGCTTGAACTTGCAATCTTCCCGCCTCAGCCTCCTGGAATGCTGGGATTATAGGCATGTGTTAGCACACTCAGCTGGATGCCCTTTTTGAGTTCTTCCCTCTTCTTTCACTGTTCCTGAGCACAGAAGGATCTGGGCCCGGCACATTGCTTTTGCTTTGCTGTGTAACCCTCTTGGCCACCTGAGAGGTAAGCTGGTCTCCCACTTCACCGTTGAGAAGTCCCGAGCCCCAGCTCACACAGCCACACTGGAATCCAAGGATGTCAGTGCCCAAAGCCCCTTCCCTCCCCATGCCATTCAGCCGAGGCTGTCCCACCTGTGGTCTGGGCGCTGCTGTTCTATCCAATCGTATCTTATTTATCTGGGTGTGGTGGCGCACGCCTGTAATCCCAGCACTTGGGAGGCTGAGGCAGGAGGATCGCTGTGAGTTCAGACCAGCCTGGGCTACATAGTTCCAGGTCAGTCTCAACTATGTAGTGAGACCTTGTCTCGGGGGGAAAAAAAAACACAAAAAAACAAAAAAACAATCGTATCTTTTTTGATTCCGTGGCTATAGGAGACTGAAGACACAGCTGCAGCATCTCTGGTGGAGAGGGTCGCAGGGGGCCAGCCGCGAATACAAGGACAAGTGCTGTGCACGCTGCCAGAGGGCGCTGGGGCGGCTGCTGAACCGGGGCGCTGTGTGCCAGGGCTGCAGCCACTGCGTGTGCTCCGAGTGCCGCGTGTTCCTGCACAGGACCTGTGCCTGGAGGTGCACCGTGTGCTTCGAGGACAGGTGAGTGTTCCCGGGCTCGGGTTCCTCCACTGAGCCAGGTGGCCAAGAGGGCCCCAAAGAGACCCTGGAGAGAGAGCATTCGCTCCTCACTCGGATGCCTCCAGGGTGCCGAAGGCAGAGCGACTTCTGATTCACAAATGATTCTGTTATATAGAAAAAGTGCTTTTCGCTTACAGAAGTTTGTAATGGCTAATGCTGAACTAACTCAGAAGGTGGAGATTCATCTAAATTTTACTGACAAGCACCTTAGTCTCCTAGAGCTTACTTTCTGTACTTTGGTAAAATTGGGGTTTTGTGACGATGTGGGAAACACCAGAGGGAGCCTGTGCAGCTTTCAGTGAGGGCTTTGTTTTGTTTCTTGGCAACTGTGGGTTTTGACCCCAGGGCCCTCACACTGAGCGACATCCCAGCTCTCCTCCTTTTTATTATTTTTATTATTTTTTAAAATTTTGAGACAGAACCTCACTAAGTAAGTTGAGATCCTCCTGCCTCAGCCTCCCAGAATGCTGAGATTACAGCCCCACATCATCACACCTGGCCAGCGAGGGCCTTTTGAATGCAGCCTTTCTGAAGGAGGCAGACAGTTTCAGTCAGATAAGGAAATGGATTTACTTCTTGTTGGTGATACAGTAAATCTACCTTTATTTTTAGCTTTTGATGGTGAGTTTTTAAAGAACTTCAAACACAGAATCAGTGTTTTTGAACTAATTTGAAAACAATAAAGACAACATATCTGACTTGGACTTGCATTGTTCAAAGCAGAAACAGACTGTGGATGCCTTGAAAACACAAGCGGGGTTTCTGCTGGCTGGGGAAACGGTGTGCACAAGGACAGAAGGCACAAATGTGAGGCAGGTGTGAATCTAGGTAGTCATCAGATCCTGGGTCGGAAAACAACTTCTCAATACTGCTGCAGGTGTGCCAGCAGCCAGGACAGATTGTGGGCTGTACAGCGGGGTCTGGTGGCTGGGCTTTCCTCCTAACCCAGAAGGTCATCTTTACTGGACACCCACACATTAATCCACCTCATTTCCTGCTCCTTTGCCAGGATTACTGTATTTCAGTCACTCAGCACAAGAGAGAAGTGGTTCAACCTGAATTCTTCTCTCTTGAACTGCGTGCCTCCCTTTCCGTAGCAGCAGACCACATTGCACTCACTTAAACCAGCTACCCTGTTTCTTCAGTTTGCTGGAATGGATGTCTTTCAGGTGTTTCTTAGCTTGGGAGCAAAAACCAAAGCAAGACTGTGAGCTGCCTGGCCGTGGAAGTACGAGGCCAGCCCGGGCTCTCCGGAGGGCAGTTAACAATTCCAAACACCCTGGAAAGGTGTCTCTATTCCCATTAAGTCAACCACATACATTTGAAGTCTTTTGACAAACCTCACCTGGTGAGGTACCAAATCTGGCAGCAGTTTGTCTTCTAATAGTTAACTATAAACTGAAAATCAAAACAGGAGGACAGCGGTTTAGGCAACCTCCCAAGAAGCCGACTGTGTTGAAATCTCAGGGCATGGTGCCCGGGCACTGTAACTTTATCCTCAAAGTACATAAAGTGTTATTATTTCTAGAACCCCAGCTTCCTCTGAAAATGTTTTTCAGAATACCTAAGGTAATTGCATTAACCTGACTGAATTAACACAGGAAGTTGTGTGGGGAGAGTGCTAACTTGAGTGCTTTCTCTCCCTTTGCTACTCTCACGCCCTTTCTTCATAGCCCTTGTCCTCTCTGGGCCACCATCCTACTTCAGGACCTAAATAAAGATGAGGCCTTGTAAATCTAGACATTCCTCACTGTCTCGCTTTTCTCCTCCTGCTTCTCCCTCAGCTTGAGGCACCTTCGGCAAGAAGAAGTGGTTATAGGAAAGGAGAATGGAGTCCTAAAACCAGAACAAGCAGGCCTGTAGGGTAGTAATTAAAAATTACAGACAGGTCTGCTTTCAGATTTCTGCAGTGCAAAAGGCCTGTGGAATGTGGCAGCTTGGGCTGTGTGGAAGGGCCAGGAAAGGTTCTTCCTTTGGGGAAAGCTTTCCCTTACAGAACTGCTAAATGCTGGGCTGCTAACGGCACTGGGGCTCAAAGGAGAGAGACCAAGAGGCAGAACTGACTCAAGGTGACAGAAGGAGTCCTGTGGTTGAAATATTTCTTTAAGCTTTATTTAAATATTCAAACATTCCTAAAGGGTAGCTACTACTGCCATCCTCATTTTACAGACAAGAAGTGGAGGCTCAGACGTACCATAGTAAAGGAGAACCCAGCCTCAGCCAGGCCCCTCAAAATCCCCACCCTGGCCTGCCAGCTGGGGGAATCCCACAGCGGGCAGAGTCTTAAAAGCCACTCAGAAGCATCTGTGTGTGTCCCAGGGAGTGGGACCTGAAGGGTGAACACGTGCTCTTTGCTCCATGAAAGCCATCCCAGAAATCTGTTGTAGTCTTGCTGGTGGACTTGGAGGCAGAAGAGGAAGGTGAAACAGCAGTGACAACATTGCTGCATTGACCAAGGCTCTGGGTGGGGAGGCCGGGGCAGTGATGGGGCGTGTGAGAGGTGGTCCCAAAAGGCGGACGGGACTTGGCTCAGAGCATTCGGCAGAGGGAAGAGTGAAAAATTATCAGGCCTGGCAAACAGATGGCTTTGCATGTGGGACTGGATTGTCGGGTGTCAGAAAACCGAAGGATAGAGAGAAGCAACAGAAGAACTCAGTAAACAGACCAAGGTGAAAAAGACTTGGAGGAAGAAAGTTGGTTGAGAGCTGCATTCTGCGGTGGGGAGGCAAGTGTGGTCTTCATCAGAAACCAGCCGGAAAAGAGTGATTTCAATGAAAAAAGGGTGGCTTTCAGTCAGAAGAGCTGCTTGGGGAAAAGCAAAACGAGCGAGAAGCATTACATAACCTATCTATGCTTTATGATTGTTGACAGTTTTTGTGGTGAAATGGCCATGGTAAGTTAACAACTATGTTTAAATGTCAAGGAGATTAAGCTTTATATTTACTTGTTTGTTTTACCTCATTAAGGAAGTCAAGTTTGATTTCTTAGGTTTGCATTGATTTTTTTCCCTTTAAAATAATATACCGTGCAGTGTCGTCAAATTCCCCAAGAAAACTGTTCACATCTTTCAAGTAGGTTGTTGAGTTACTCTTGTCCGAGACTCTTCCTTTGAATAGTGAATACAAAGTCTATTGCTTTGCAATCGGCTATGACCACGGCAAGTCATTTACGCTTCAGATATTTATGGATACTCTCCCTCTGTTCCACTAGGAATGTTTTTGTTGGTGGGTTTTGTTGTTGTTTGTTTTTGGAACCCAGGGTCTCACATATACTAGGCAAATGCTCTACCAGTGGGCTAAACTTCTGGCCCGAGAGATTTTGTTGTTGTTGTTAGAGACATTGTTAGTAGTAAGGATGGCTCGGACTGAATAGGTTCAAAACCTGTTGCTTGGGAAAATCTGGAAGTTGGCAAATGTTTTGACAAAAAATGCACAGCAGAATTTAACTGGAACAGAGATGTTTAGACAAAGTGTCCGGTTGCAGCAGGTGTTAACTGTTGATTTCAGGGAACAGTATTCGCTTGGGTTGCCCAACGATCTCTGAATCACACCTGCTGCCAATGGAGAGAAGCTGACGTGTGTTCACTTGAAAACTGACCCAGACTTTGGCATTTTATCGTCACAATCTCAGTTCTCAAATTGAATCTTGAATTATTGCTTTTGCAGCAATGGTTAAAGTAAGATTTAGGAGTTTATTAGAGGGATTTTTGTTTGAAATAATTCTTAGAATAGGATTTGGATGTAAATACATTGTTACCAAGTGATGCATTATATTTTCTGCTCATCGCAGGGTAATTTTTACTGAAAAACAAGAGCCATGTCAACAAAGGTTTCATAACAATTAGGTTTCCTGTGTAAAATAAAACTTCCCAGAGTTTGGGAAATGCAATCCTATAAATTTAAATTTATAAAAAATTATACATGTATTATATATATATATTTATAAAAAGTTATATAAATTATATAAATATACTCTAGTATTTTCAGTCCCATATTTTGATAAGATAGCGAATCACCACTTTAAATCCACAAATGCAGGTAACTAATGTATAAGAATGGAATGGTCCACACTCGTATCACCTCTCTTCTTCAAGGGAGGAAAAGGCCAAACTCTCTGAAAAATGGAAAAGAAGTTGACTGCCACATTGGTGTCAGAGATTTGCCCAAGGAGGAGTTTCGTGGTGCTAAGGTTAAAATGAGATTCCTACACTGCTTGTTTTCGGTTTCTGACCTGATTTCTTTCTTTCTTTCTTTCTTTTTTTTTTTTTTCTAAATTTGAATGTTTACCATTACTGATAGAAATTGCTTATAGATTGTTTTGTTTTTGTGCAGTGCTGGGGATCAAATGCAGGTCTTCCTGTGTGCCAGGCAAGTGCTGTACCACTGAGCCGCGCCCCGGCCCCCATGTGTTTATCATGAAAAGTTAAATTACTTTGTGAAATGTTTCACAGTCATACCGTTACAGAGTTTTAAGAGTTTAGCCCTAAGATGAGTCACAGCTAGGAAAAGCCTTTTGTTCTTTGGTAAGCAGTTTGAATTAGCAGTGGCATCTATTTTAGTGCTTCCAGTCCTGCTTGGCTGTTTCACATGGAGCACATACGGTGTTTTCTGGAGGAAAGGGATAGAGGATAATTATACATAAGACATGATACTCTTTTTGTCTATATATCAGGTGGAATCAATGGTTATAAATATCATTCAAAACAGGAAAAACATTGAAATTTATGGAGCACTTTTGAGGGGAAAAAGCTTATTTTTTGCTTCTAATGAGGATGCTTTCACTCTTTTGTGTCATTCTTGCTCAAAGTCAGATTCTTTATGAGGTCAGCACTTGATTAGTCATGGCAAGTCCTGTCTTTAAAGCTTTTTTGAGAATTCGCAAGCTTTCTTTTTCATTATGTTTATCGTTCACACCCGAAATTGTCTGCTGTTTGCTAAGCTGAAGCCTGTCCCCCTACAAGG